ACTGACAATCTACAGATCCAGCACAGTCTCTGTCACAGTTCCAGCTGCCTGTGTTGCAGAAATTGGCAAGCTGATCCTCAAATTCATATGGAAACGCAAAGGACCCAGAACAGCTAAAAAAATTTTTAAAAAAGAAGAACAAAGTTGGAGGACTCACACTTCCCAATTTCAAAACTTACTACAAAGCTGCAATAATCAAGACAGTTTGGAACCGACGTAAATATGGCTGGATGTATGACACTGAACTGATTCCAGAAATAAACCTTTGTATTTATGGTTAGTTGGTTTCCAACAAGACCATTCAATGAGGAAAGAATAGCCTTTTCAACAAAAGGTGCTGGGACAATAGAGTAGCCACATGCAAAAGAATGAAGTTGGACTCCTTCCTCATACCACATACAAATATTAACTCAGAATGGATTATAGACCTAAATGTAAGAGCGAAAACTATAAAACGTAGAAGTAAATCTTCCTGACTTGGATTAGGCAATGGTTTCTTAGCTATGACCCCAAAGCACAAACACCCAAAGATGACACCAATAAATTAGACTTTCTCACAATGAAAAACTCTTGTGCTTCAAAGGACATCATCCAGAAAGTGAAAAGACAATCCGTAGAATTGGAGAAAATATTTATAAATCATATAGCTGATAAGAGATGTGTGTTCAGAACAGATAATTTAAGAATGGACAAAAGATTGGAATAGACATTTGTCCAGTGGGCCAATAAGGTCATGAAAAGATGCTCAGCATCATTAGTTGCTAGGGAAATCAAATCCATGAGATACCACCTCACACCCACTGGGATGGCTAAAACAAGAACAGACCCTAACAAATGTTGACGAGAATATAGAGAAATTGGAACCCCCATGCAATGCTGGTAGGATTGTAAAATGGTGTAGCTGCTTTGAAAAAGTGCCTGGCAGTTCTTCAAAAGGCTGAACATAGAGTTACCATATGACCCAGCAATTCTCCTAGGTATTTAACAAGAGAATTGAAAATATTTGTTCATACAAAAACTTGTATGTGAATGTTTATATGAATTCATAATAGCCCAAAGGAGGAGACGACCCAAATGTCCACCGGTGGATGAATGGATAAACAAGACGTGGTACATCCGTGCAATGGACTATAACTCAGTCATAAAAGGAAATGTACTGCTACATGCCACAACGTGGATGAGCCTTCAGAAACTCATCCTAAATGAAAGAAGCCAGACGCAAAGGACATACATTGTAGAATTCCATTTATAGGAAATGTCCAGTGACTCAGGAGAGAGAGAGGAATGGGAACTGACTGCTAGGGGGTACAGGGTTTCCTTTTGGGGTGATGAAAATGTTTTAAAATTAGATAGTGGTGATTGTTGTATAACCCTATGAATTATTCTAAAAACCACTGAATTGTACACTTTAAAAGAGTAAATTTTATAGTATGTGAATTACATGCCAGTAGAGCTATTATCAAAAATGAGCATTAGGGGCTGGCCAAGTGGCGCGTTGGTTAAGAGTTGGCTTGGGGCGCCAGCTCTGAGCATCAGGGCCCCGGTTCGGATCCCACATGAGGGCCACTGACACTGCACCCTCTACAGCTAAGATGGTGAACAACAACAGCTCGACCTGGAGCTGGGCTGCTGTGAGTCGTCGGCGACGGTGTAGGCTGCAATGAAGCTGCAGTGCGCTGCCTTAAGCTACTGTGTGTGGCCGGCAGCCAGCGTGAGCAGCTGGCAGCTGGTGTGAGCTGCCAAGAGTCGCCATGAGCGGCCGTCCAGAGGCTGGCGACCGATCTGCCTCACCTGGGAAGAGCGCAATGATAATACCAACATGGGCCAGTGAAGCAATGTCTTCCACAACTAGACTGAAGAACAAAAGGACAGCAACTTGTCTGTCCCCCTTCCCCCAATTCCCCAGCGCTGTTCCCCTCCCCCAATTCCCCAATAAAATCTTTAAAAAAAAAAAAAGCATTAACAGGTGAACATTTGTAATTGATTTTGATGATAGAGAACACTTTGAGCCCCGATTAAGCAAATGTTACCTCACCCCAAAAAGAATTCCATTCTTCTCATTTATAGACCTGTATTACAAGAGGTTGTGCTGAATTCTATTTTGAATTCATCAATAAATGTGAAATTTTTATTTTCTCTCTTTTTTTTGGTGGAAGTACCTACGTTATACCCTTGATGTAGTCTCTTGGCCTACCTATAGAGTTTAAAATACTATCTGGCCCTTGTAGAAAACGTTTGCTGCCCCTTGCTTCACTCAGCACGTTGTTTCTTCTGCCCGGTATTTCCCCCTCACTCCAGCCCAAACGTCTGGCCACTCTTTAAGACTCGGCCCAGTGCTCCTTTCTTCTGTAGGAAGCCTTTTTCTCACCAACCAGCTAAGAAAAACAGGTTCCCCTTTTGTGTTTCCTAAGTGCTTTCTGCGAACCTGTGTAAGAGCAACAGCCGTGCCATAGCTGTTTGCTTCCAGGTCTTCATTCTGCCCTGGAGTGTGTGCCTCTGGCAGGCCCCGCCTGGGTCGTAGTCATCCTTGAAATCCCTGGGGCCACCAAGAAGACACTGAAATGGTTTCTGGATGAAACGTGGACTCCTCACCCGCGTAGAAACAAAGGCATGCCAGGCAGGAAACATACAGCCGATGCCACACGCCTGTCCTAGGTGACGTCTCCAGGAACTCTTCTCACTTCTCTCTTCTTGACTTACAAGTTTTCCACCCCCTCCAAAAAAAATAAATAAGCTTTTGACTATTAAAGGAGTATGTATGACCTAATAACGAGCAATCATAGTATCCTGCACCTGCTCACCAAGAGACGAGCTCCTTGGTGACCTCTTAGTACATTTCTCTTAGACCTTTTCATGCATGTTTATGGGTTGTGCGTATTTTAACTAAACAGATCATATGTTGTGTAAACTACTTTGCTTGTATATATTATGAATAGCTTTCCATGTCAGTAAATATGCTTCCTAATCTCTTTAATGGTTGTAATATCTTATCACCTGGATAAATCATAATTTATTGAACCAAGTCTTTATTGGAATTTAGATTGTTTCTACACTTGTGCTGTTATTGGCAGCTGCGGGATCAGCATCACTGTGGCTAAATTTGTGCGCTCCTTGGTGATTATTTCCTTAGGATAAATTCCCAGAAGCAGAATTGTTGGATTGAAAGTCCATGGACATGTTTAAGATGCTTGATATGTATTGTCAGACTGCCCTCCAGACGGACTGCACGTCCATGTGGATTTTGAAAGTCCTTCTGTCTACATGGAAAACTTTATTAGGACCTTTGAATGTGTGCACTCTGCTGAGCTGTAATGTGGCTTCAATAGAGAAACAAGTTTATAATGCTCAGAGAAGACACAGAGCCAGCCTCAGCTGCTCACCCAGCAAGGAGTCCTGTTTTCAGTAATTACATAGCTTTTCTACCTTGTCTTATGCACTAGGAACAGCAGAGAAAATTATAACATTTTTCTCTGCCTCCAGAAGCTACGGATCTACATTACTAAAGTTCTGTCCTCTGTTCCCGTTAAAGGACAAGCCCTATCTCCGGAAGATATCATTGATAAGAAATGTCAGGTTTCAGGTGTAGTCCAGCCAAACACGTTAGGTAAATGGAAATATACCTAGTTCTTGGCCATCGAGCACATTTTCCCTTGGAAAATGGAATTGACACCATTCAGCCAGAAAATATGTTTTTTCAGGTTCATGAGATCTGCAAACATGCCCAAGAAACTATGTAGCAAGTATGCTAATTATGGTGATTATAGGTGAGGGTGGGACCCTTCTCCCACTCTTACTTGTTGGCATAAAGATAATTGTTATGTATTGAATCCAAGTAAAAGTTGGGTTAGATAGTTGATGGTATATGATATGATCTCCAAACTCTTTTGAATGAATTATTATTATGCTTTTCCTTCTTTATTCCATCTCATTCATTTATTCATATCTATTTCCTTAGGACCCACTGTAGGCCAAGTACTCTTATAAGTAATTTTCTTAATTTTGCCATTGTCTGTCTAATCTTTTTTCCCTTTTTGTTTATCCATTGGGTTTCATCGTAATTTATCAAACAAAGGCTTTGAAAAAGACAAAGTAGCAAAGCGATTAAAAATACTAATTTTAAAAAGTCCCAGTCTAGGGAAATAGCTAAGTAAACCTAACATCTTGGAATATTATGTAGCCAAAGAATTTGTAGTAACATGGGGGTAATGTTTGCAACATAGTAAGTTAAGTCAAATACAAAAATGTACAAGTAATGTGAATTCAACTATGTGTTTTTTTAAGCATACAAAAAAGACCAGGTGGAGCAGACAAAACTTGTAGTTTTCACTGGGTGGTAGGTCTGAGGACGATTTGCTTGCTGCCTACTTTTCAGAATTTCTTTAGATTTATAATGGGCATATATAATCAAAGCAAAAAGTAAACTTCAAATACTAACAAAATATTGGGTTGTCGGAAAAATCATGACGTATTTTTTCTGTTTTTCATTGCAAAAATGCGTCATGACTTTTCCGACAACCCAATATTTATCTGTTTTTTAGACTAGAAGATATAGGGATGGGGATTGAACCATTTAACTGTTCAGTGTTAAAATCTGATAGTAACGTGGCGCTCACCATTGAAGAGAGAAGTACAGAAGCGAAGACATTTGATTGTGTGTATAGTTTAGGACTTACACGGAAACTGAAGTCACACTTGAATGTACATACAAATGTCTGACCTGTTTATTAGCTATATGTATAAGTGGATCAGATTTATTACTGTCATACACAGTAAATCATAAGTAATCAGTAATCTCAATAATGGATGCCAGACAAATGGGCCGTCCTGGAGTGGTCTGGCTGGCAGTGTTCCGTGGCCTCTTAATTTATCAGTGTGTACATTTTATGAATGAATGTGTTTAGTAGGGGAATGTATGTATAAATATGTGGAAAATAATAGTGGTTGAAACGCATTACTTAGTCTTGGTCATTGAAACTTGTCCAATCTTTTTTTTTTTTTAGGAGAATGACATCTTCCTGGGCTGGGAAAAAGGAGCTTATAAGAAATGGGGAAAGAGTAAGAAAAAGTGCTCAGATCTAACTCTAGAAGAAATGAAAAAACAGGCTGCTGTCCAGTGTCTTCGATCTGCTTCTGATGAAGTAAGCTTACCACTTATTTCTAATATTTAAGAGGAGAAAAAAGGGGGTGGGGGTGTTTTTAAAAAGTTTGCAAATATCTTGACCAAATAACATCTTGACCAAAAAAAAACACAGAAAAATTAACTACTCATTATCTTACCACTATAACATAAACATTAATTGCTTTTTCCTTTATGGCCTTTTTATGTACTCTATTTTGAGTTTTATATAATATATTATTTAATGTGTGTTATTGTAATTAAGGTATACACGAAATTTTATATCCTTTTTTCCCCATATAATATATATTTCATCCTGTTACTTTATTATCTTTATTCTTTTTAGTGCCAAGTTATATTTTATCAAATAATATTCCAACGCAATATAATATACTCCTCATTCCTGGATATTTAGCTTACTCTTGATTTTTTACTGTGTTGTCTAGGATATTTTCATGTGTGGCTTTTTCCATGGTCTATATTATTTCTTTTGGATACATTCCTAGACATGGAATAGAAGTTCTGATATTTTAAGAACACTGTATTTGCTTCTGATTTATAATTTTTGTTTGTATTTTAGAAAATATCCTGAAATAAAATAGTTTTAGAATAGAATTACCCACTTAATACTATGAATTCTTATTTTCTTACTCACTACAGGATGCAATATCCGAGATCATAACTACGTAGAAAATTATTTTGCTATTACCATGCTACTCAAGATAATGTGGTTTAAGTACCTTTATAATTCAGACCTAAATGGAGAGATTCATACAGGGTACCTAGAGAGGTTCCCATCCTACAGAATTTTCCTTCCGGAACTAAGTTACCCAGCAGTCTGATGTTGGGATAACCAGCTTTGCTACATTTGGTCATCTACGTTACTCTGTCTGGCTACCACCTACCACACTTACCTTTTAAAGCTTATTCAGGGCTTCCCAGCTATGTGTTCTCTACCTGCTCAAAGTCACCTGTGAGAGGCCCAGCGCCCCTGGCTTGTACTCCTGGCACCTGTGTGTGTCTGTAGTATGAGGGCCTCACCTCCGAAATCGCAGTTGTTCATTCCTGTCTTCCCTTTCCGGTTGTGCTCCTTGGGGGCCAGGACTGCGAGGCGCCCGCCTTCCTGTCGCCCAGCGCCTCACAGAGTGATCGCTGATTGTGTAGAAGGTACTGAAGGGAACACTCAGTCGTTAAGAGTCCCCCTTTCTCTCTTCCCGCTGCTTTTCTCTCCCCCACCCCTTTGATTTTTTTTATCTTCTAATTTCTGGAAGCTGCTGCCTCCTGGACTGTGGGATAGGAATTTGGAAGTTACTGCTCATGTGGCTATTTAGTCAGGTACCATTTTATTACAAAGAGTAGGAACATAATTAGCCTAGTTTAAGAAAAAAATGCGACTGTGCATAGAGGATACAGGGATAGCTCCCTGAGACCAAGTGCTGGGGACGCGGTGGCCTGAGCTGGGGACCGACAGATTGGCACCAAGTGACCCACAGTCACTCCTTTGCTTCCCTCTGCTTCTGGCTCCTTCCCGCTCCGTCTGAAGCCTGGCGTTCTCTGCTTTAGCACACAGGGTGGAAAAACCACCCTTCCAGCCGCTCCCCAGCATGACGGCCGAAGGCTCGTACCCAACACCAGACAATCATGAGAATTGGACTGGCCAGGCCTGGGTCGCTCAGCTGTGGGGAGGGGACAGTTGCAGGAGGTCCACTCCGGCTGCAGGGGCGCGAGTGGCGAGCAGTCCTCAGACTAAAGAGGGTGGTTAGACAGTTACCCAAAAGGTGTTTGCTAGATTGGCAAAGTAATTTGGAGCTGTTAAAGGAATTCAAAATGCAGGTGGATTTTTTTAAAGTGAGAGGTTATTTCAGGTAAATTCTTTGAGTAGATTGGTAAAGTAATTTGGAGCTATTAAAGGAATTCAAAATTCAGATGGGTTTTGAAAGTGAGAGGTTAGTTCAGGTAAATTCTTTGAGCAGAATCCAAAGAAGCTGCTGAGTCATGGTTGGGAGGAAAACATGAGCAGGGAGTTTCAATCTGGGAAAGGATCTTATTTCTGCTTGGGACCTGCTTTGCTGAGAAGTGACTCTGGCCTTTGACTCACGTGGTGAACCTGAGTGGAAACAAGTCCTGCGGAAATCAACCATGAAAGCGTGAGGGGTTCAGGCGCTTCGTAGTAACGCAGGACCCAGGCTGGGGGCTTGCCGCGTGCGTGTGAGCCATCCGAGTGAGCGCTGAGCGGCTGAGAAGAATGTGGTGTGAGGTGGAGGCGAGGCAAGGCAAGGGGCTTGCAGAGATCTCGGGCTCTGCACATGGCTGCTTTGGAAAAGTGCTTTCCTTTGCCCGGCCGTCGAGGTGGGAGTTTTGTTTTCAAACCCAATGAAACATATTTGTCCTATTCTTTCCTTCTCATTTTATTAAAAAAAAAAAAAAACTTGCATTGCTTTGTCCTAATGCTGATTTTAAAAAATCTTATCAAATTAAAATCGACTGAGGAGCTGAGTGTGCCAGGCCTGGGTGGGGAGCGGATGAGGAGGGGGAGGAGGAAGGCCGCTGGCCCCAGGGCCGGCCCAGAGCTGCCTGCTGCTGTGTGTGGGCTCGTGGAGCCCGTGGGAAGAGCCTGAAAATGACCTCTAATGTGGCCTGTAGCAACAGGAAGCAGTCACTGTGGCTGGTTAACCGTGTGTCCCTGGCTTTTCTTTCTATACAATATTATCTGTCTGGTGGCTTCAATGAAAAGAAAGGAGCACGGAGACCCTACATAGGAGATGATAAAGCAGAAGTTTTGTTTAATTCCGTGTCCTGCCCACAGTGAATGTTTGCATGTGGGGGTGTTACTTATCTCTATAAGTAACTGAGGATGGTACTGTTCCTGATTCTGCACTTTGCTTTCCCAAGTCCCAAAATGCCGACTTTTCACAGTCACTACCAACTGATCAAAACCAAGAGCCACAAACAAGTTTATAGTCTAATCGATTGAACTGTTAATTACCTAATTAGAAGACAGTGACACAGGTGATGCTATGGTAGGTCGGTTAGTTGGTTGGTAGGTAGGTAGGGAGGCCGTAGAGGTGACATTAAGCATATGTATGTGAGATGCATTCTTTTCTTGTTACTTTTGTGTGTGCATGGGTGACCATTGCGGGTGCAGTGCTGTTTCTGGGAAAGCATCCGTAGTTAGCAGACTCTTCACTGCATCTTGGCTCACTTCTCTGACTCACCGCTGCAGGCCATGCCTCCTTTTTTTTTTTTTTTTTAGCTGAGCCATCCTGCTACCTATTGGCAGCTTAGCGGCTGCTCAGCTCGGGCTGGCCTTGAACCGCTGTTGCTC